AATCCAATTGGGAGAAAAACTTGATAAGAAAAAAAACTATCACTAAGGTTGAATAGCTGGATAGTCCCTTATAATTTCCAAGATTTACGAATAGCCATGAGAAGAGCCTCATAGAAAGGCCTTCTCCCTTCGAAATAACCTTTCAGCAATATATTTCATTCCTCCGATGCAGCGTCTGTTTTGACTTTAGGGAACACGATAACTTTATCTTGAGTGTGTATAAATGATATGGGTATATCTTTTTGAAAAAAATAACTTTGTGGGATTCACCATGTTTGTTCAGTCAAGTAATGAACTCTAAGGAGTCGTAGCGGCTTGAGCCTCCCCCCGAAGTCGGCGGAGAAGAACAACAAAGGGGAAGGCAGAGGAAGGGGGTGGCTAGGGCTGCATTTCTATTTTTATTTAAATATTACATCCCTACGAGCTTAGCATTTTAGTTTTATTTCTTCCGAAAATCGGACATTCAGAAAACACACTCAGTAGAATAGGATATTCAAGAATGATCAATGTTAAAGAAGTTTCATTTTTTGGTGACAACTTTGTTAGATTTTTTGGTATAGCCTGGTAAGAACTGCAGCTATACAATTATATCGATTTTGTTTTGGTATGATTTGGATAGCTATATAGTTTGGATTGCTATATTAAATGAGTTTCATTCTCTGATGATCTTAAAGCAGGTTCAATTGAAATACTTTAAGTACAATAATTGATGTAAAAGTCTCTACTGTTAAACCAAATATGATCATACTGAAACCGAATTATTTTTCAAAGAATGCGAGAGGAGAAAACTGCAGCTTACCCAAATATGGCAATGGAAGAAGACAAACTACAACTTACCGAGAAGACAAACTGCAGCTTACCGAGAAGACAAATTGCAACTTACCGAGGTTGCCTTTCGCGGAAGAGCAGGTGAGGAGGTTGCCTTTCGTGGAAGAGCAGGAGAAGAGGTTGTGTTTCGCGGAAGTTTGGATGGAGTGACGTTTCATTTGGACGGAGTGATATTTTTTGTTGTAAAATTAGTATTTGGATGGTTGGGATGTAATATTTAAATTTTAGGTGTTAAATATATAATATACATATAATAAAGTGTCATGTATGTAAATCACCCCAAAAAAAAACCTCAATTCAGGCGATTTTCTCTGTCGCATATTAGGGTAAAGCCATGAGTTCTCTGGGCACGGCGAAGGGGATCGTCGAGATCGCCAAATTCGCACTGTACGTCGCCATTCCGGCCTCTCTAACCTACGCCGTTGCCGCCGATTCCGGGACTATTCACAAGCTCATGGGATTCGTAACTCTCTCCCTCTCTCCCTCTCTCTCTCTCTTTCTTTCTTAGAGAATATTTGGCCAGCTTTTATTACTTATCAAGTTTACTTGTTAAGAATCAAATGGAAGAACTGGTTCTGATATTTTCTTCAACTCAGCTCTCGCATACACAATTCCCGAATTAATTAGCATGGTAAAAGTTCTTTAATTCTCCCAAGGTTGGGCACGCATTTGTAGTTGAAGTTAGTCATCATAATTGTCTTCTGCATAGGCTTTATTGTAGGTAAATCGTGGTGTTGTTTAATTCCTTTGTTCTTTTGAAAATCTGGATTCTTACATTTGTTTGTTATCTAATATGATTAATGCTTGACTAAGTAATCTACTAAAGTTGATAAATACAGGTTGGCCCTATGTAAAAAAATACAATGTTAACGTTAAGCTTAATGGGAAAGTTTAAAATTGATAAAGAACATGAAATGAACCCCTAAATAATTTGCTACTCATTTAACTTTGTTGTTATGGATCTAGTTATTGGACAATAAACAAGTATGCTTATGAACATGAATAAACATGCAGGCCAATATTTAGGCATCTTTATTTTTATGTCTAGTTTCATAATTCATATTTAAGATTGTTGGATTATTTTGTAAACAAAAAAATCATAATCGAATAAGTACCATGCTGTTATTAAGCTTATTGAATTTCTTACACATTTAGTAAAGAGTAGGCTTTTAAGAAGAATCGCTCAAAATATGTAGTTTCCTTTGCTTCTCCATAGGCGATGCACCATTTGCTCAATACAAGCGCACAATTAATATTTGTGGAGTCATCTACAACAAGGAATGCATTACAATATCTTGGTATTCTACAACTCCAAATGATGCATACTGCTGCAAAGCTCACAATTAATATGAGGATATATGTGGATGCCTATGGCATCACCTTTTCTAGTTGCCAAAGAGATATTTTTTTACTAAAGTTCCTTTAATGGCGTGGTTGTGGTCCACTAATACAAAGTAGACTAGTAAGTGAAAATGAATCAAGTATAAAGAGAAAGAGATCCAGGATAGAGAGAGGGGAGGGAGAATAAGAAGAAGCTTTAATTTTCATTTATAAATTAATTGATCAATACAAGCTAGGGATCCTTTATTTATAAAAATAAGGTCATGGGATAAAATCAAATAATATACAAAAGAAAAATAATTACTAATTTTAAATAAAACTAAAGAAAATATTCAAATTTAAATGAAAGAACTGAAATAAAGCTTAAACCTAATTTCCTATGTTGCATCAACCAACCTTGTACTGATTTTTTATAGATAGTGGAAGCTATTCAATTGAGTAAGGTTTCATGATTTTTTTTCCTTTAAAGGATTTTCCAAGTAAAAAAAAAAAACAAATCTTATTTCACACTCTTTAATTTGCTTCAATATTTGTATGAGTGAGATAAAGAAAGAATAGCCAATGTAGATTAACCTTCATTTTACCAATTTGATTTCTCACACATCACAACAACAACAACAACAAAAACAACAGCAACAATAACAATTGTTGTTGCTGCTGTTGTTCTCATTAGGGGTGTCAATATTTGACACGACACAAAAATCCGACCCGGACGCCGTCGCCTGCTGCCGCGTGCCGATCGCGCCGCCGCGTGCTGCCGCAGTGCCGGGTCGTGTCGGGTCAACCCGGCAACCCGCCGGGTCGGGTCCGGGTTCGGATTTTCGACCCGTTTCTCTACCCGGGTCGGGTTAGGGTCGACCCGTTTTCCACCCGGGTCAGTTCGGGTTCGACCCGAACCCGACCCGTGACCCAAAATTGACACCCCTAGTTCTCATACACAACAATCTCTTTATTTTATTTTTTTTGTTAAAGCTGGAGAAGTCGGGGTTGAAATTTTACCCAGTGAAAAGCATCTTGCATGTTTGAGGCAAAATCTATGGAGCACGTTAGGCCAGATGGAGGGAGAGATGCATAACTAATTTCCCTTCTTTTTAGTAACCCTTGTGGATGAGATCTTGAAGGATAGCAATATTATGATTATGCAATTTCCATTGGATAAATGTTCCCTTTCCAAGCAAAAAATAAGAGGTGAAGCTTAAATTAAAAAAATAATAATAATGATCCAGAAAATTCTTGCTGTTTCTTAACTTTTCCTTGATCCAAACAAAGTCTTTTCCAATTATTTTTAGTCAACCACTTGCTTTTGCTTTGCCCATGCATTGTTTGCAATGGAATAAAAATAAAATTGACTCTTAATTTTACTTAAAAATACAAAATCACAAGCAAGCTGAAAAAGTTGCAGATACTCCATCATAAGATCTAATACTATCGTGATGAATCATTATACGCCAAAACCAATTAAATCAAATATATGGAAGGCCTTATGTCAACTAAACTTGGAAGGTGTAAGGCAACCTGAATGGCTTCGATTGGTCTAGTTGAACTTGTTATATCCCTTTGTGTGCTTTCTATCTGACTGCCTAGGGTAGCCACACCATTGTCACTACCACTAGCTACACTGATTCTTCTTGCTGAGAGCAACACATTGATGGGTTCATATCACCTTGTTGCATCCTTATTACTGTTAAATTATCTCGAAAGATTTGGAATTCCAAGTCTCTACAATGTTTACAGGCCATCATTTCACAAATTATTTGTGGTGAAATGTTCCTCTTATGGATAGAAATTTATCCATATAAAAATGGTTGGATACTATTGTCATTTTCTGGCATCCATAAATTGGAGATTGTAAACCTTCTCATAATTATTCCTAGGGGTGTCAAGTTCGGGTTACGGGTCGAACCCGAAACTAACCCGACACTGTTTGGGTCAACCAGAACCCGACCCGTTTTTACAAACGGGTCAGTTTTTGGGACACGAATCCGACCTGCTTCAAGTTTGGGTTAACCCGAGCCAACACCAATTTATGGGATTTAAATGAAGAAGCGCGTGAAGATGAGGCGAGCTCTAGCCTCCCGTCACTGGTTCCAATCTCGGCAAGGTCCCTCGCCTTGGACTGCGGCGAGCTCCCTCTCTGATTTGGGTCGAACTTCAAGGACCCAAGGTTTACCATCGTTGGTTCCAGTCTCGGCGAGGTCCCGCGGAGCCGCAGATGAAAGGTGAGGCGGCGAGCTCACTGTCGTTGTTGCTTCTGATCCAACTGTGGCGGTGACGATTTGACGGGCTGAATGCGACGGGACGAGTGGACGACATTGACGAGTGACGAGCTGATGCGACTCGCGAGTGTCACGCGCCGCGGTTGACGAGTGACACGGATGACGTGTGATGGGATGTTTTCGAGTCAAATCGAGTTGATTTCGGGTTTCTGGGTCAACCCGAACCCGACCCATTTTTGTAAACAGGTCAAAATCTGTGACCCGATGGGTTGACCTAGACCCAAAATTTTCATGTTGGGTTCGAGTCAGGTTTTCGGGTTGTGTCCAATATTGACACCCCTAATTATTCCCACAAATCCAATTGCCAAAGTTTTGATTCCCAAAACGGTTTTGTTCATGGCATTGAGATCCATGATATGATATATGAGTTTGCCAACCAAATGCATTTCCATCGGTTCCTTAATTCCTGATTCAGGTGGGCCGATCTTGATGACTTAGAGGTGTCATCATTTAATCATGGTTGTTCATGGGAGAAGACAGGTTGCATCATCAGTTTTTGTTGGTAACTATGAGAAATATTTCAAATAAAGACTAGGATGCCCTTTAAAGAAATTTAAATAGCCTTTTATTTAATGCATTCTAGGAGAGTTTCCTAGTTTGGAAGTTTGCACTATTCCTCTAAGAAATCATATATGAGGTTATCTCTGCCGTATCAAGACCTGTGTTACGACCATCACTTGCAACTTTCTCTTGCGCAGTAGCCGTCTCTCTCAAACCTATGAAACTGTAAGTTTTGCATTACACTCAGTTATATGTTACAACCTTTGCTTGTAATGCAGTCATTCCTATGCTGAGATCCGCTGCAATCTTTTCTTGTGCAGTACTTGTCTTCCTGAAGATTAACATTATAGGCATCTCTTGCGAGCCCTATCCTTCAATTGTTTCATACAAGAATGAGCCGGTCCATCCTAACCCCTTGCGGGTCTACAGGAGGAGGAGGGGAGGGGCAGCCGGCCCGGGTGAACCAGGGGGGGGTTCGGCCGAACCCAGGGAGCAAGGGGGAAAAGCCACGGTGGGCCCCTTGCCAAGGCGTATCAAAGAACTGTTTTGCAGTCATATCTCACATAACCTTTATTCCATTACCGTCTTCTTCAAGACCTGGGCTACCATCATTCTCCACAACACTTGCACTACAACCATCTCCTTTAAGATTTGTGCCATAGCTGCCCTATTTCGTGGTTTTTTTCCTTAAGATCCTCACACAGGCATCTCTCCCAAAACTTCTATTTGCCATCCACTACAAAGCTTGTGCATCGGCTATCTTCAGACACATCGATTACCATTTTACATTTGCAACTGTTGATAACAATTATGATATCTAATATTTTTTGCATTGCATTAACAGTTATGGTGAAGGGTTGTATCTTGTTACTTTTTTATACTACTGGAAATTAACAGTTATGGTGAAGGGTAAGGCCTAGGGTTTTTCCCTTCTTGTGTTTACCATTTAACAATTTCTATACACGATTATTTGATTTCCTTAAATGCTTGTATGTATGAGATTAAAAAGCCTGAAGCAGTCAAGATCGATTCACACTTAATTGACTTGATTTCTCTCATCTAAATTGTTTGGCTCTGTATGTGAGAAATATGCCAACTTTTTTCACCAACAATTTGACAACATGGTGGGTGGATTAACACAACTCAATTAGATTTTGTGGATTCTCAAATTGTATCTTTTAAGGAACAATGTCGTAGAGGTTGAACAAGTTTCAGGTAGCTCATGAATTAAAAAGTATGGACCTATTATAGGATAAAAATTTCTTATCCTTCAAAGAAGGGAATTAGTTTGTCCAGAAAAGGCCTCTCTATTGTTCAATAGAATCATCAATCCATACAACCAACTAGGATTGTAAAAAATGCTTGATGTTGGTGTTTTGATCGATAATTAGCTCTAACTCAGCTTATTTTTACAAAATCGTTTGCTTGTTGAGTTAAATATATTTTTAGATTGCTTACACATTCATTGTTGCATATTCGTATGGATGAACGTGTAGATATATATATATATATGTATATATGTGTGTGTGTGTGTGTGATGACATACATATTATCTTATTAATATAAGATTTTCAGTTAGGTTTCATGTTTATAAATAAAAGTTGTTCAATTTAATAAGTAAAAAGTCAAAGACAAATATAAAATTTTAGCCCATTTGTTCATGAAGTCGAGTCAGATAAACCTTGAGCTTATTCAAGCATGAATTGTTTATACACCTACATGTAGCTGTATTAGATAGAAAATTTAGAGAGTTTGAAGCTTTTTGAACCCTCGTTGCTTGATAGAGAGAAGAAATCCTATTGGTTCTGGATGATCTGCTCTTGGCATATGAAATACCTTTAGAGAGGAACATACTCTTATTGCAAAAGGCTTCGTTTGAGACAACTTTTTTATTGCTTCTTAAAGCAGCTTTCTAGTACAAAATTTTTAATTTTTATATTAAAAAGCAACTTTAAGAAGCAATAATAAAGCCGTCCCAAACGAAGCCCAAGTCTGTATTATCTTCCTAAAAAATTCTTTTTAATACGCATTTGTTTAGTATGGAGTAGCTCTAGAAGTGCCTTCTCCTAACCCCAAAATAATTATAAAGGAATGATTATTAAACTAAATTAAGCCTAAACCATTATGTCACTCCAAATACTGTGTTTGTTACAAAACTGAAGGCTTTGCTTGGTAGGCTTCTGAAAAACTGAGGCAGTTGGTATTATCCTTATAAAAAAAAAATTCAGAGAGCACACAGAGCACAATATAGAATAAGTTGTTAGCTAGCAATAAAAAAACTTGCTCAGAGAGCACAACATATAATAAGAAAAATGCACCCCCATTAGTTAGTGACATATATTCGAACCCTTATGTTAGTAATAAGTATTAAGAAAATTAGAAAAACAAGAATGAGAACCTGGATAGAAACGTACATCCTTGCCACGGTCTATGATGCATAGATACGGACACGGCGACACAGATATGACATGGACACGGCGACATAGATACGACACGGACACGAATACGGACACGGGTTGGACACGATATTATAGTTTTTATACTTTAAAAATAGTGTATGAAAATTAAATAAGTATAATTTAAAAATAATTTAGAAATAATAAGTCATTTAACTACAATTTGTGCTTAAAATGATTAGTATTAGGATGTCGAAAGTCAGGCGTCGATGTCGTTTATCAATCACCGAGAGAGGAGATAAAAATACTTTCAATGCCATAGAGAAATGAAAATGAGAATATTTGATGAATGACTATTAAGTGCGGACGTTGATTTGGTGTTGTGGATAAAAAATAAGAAATTTAGTTTAAATCCCGCTAAATACAATAAATTATATCTAAAAAAAATTCATAAAATATTTAAGATACACTTGTCAGACATGCGTGTCCAATTTGTATTTAATATTTTTTAATCGGACACATTTTCGACGTGTCTGACAAGTGTCGGAGGAGTGTCGGAGGAGTGTCGTATCGGATACGAGTCAGACACTGCACGCCTCTTTAAGGAGAAGTATCGGTGCATCATAGGCCACGATATAAAAAATCTCTTCATTCAATCTGATAAGCCAAAAGAGATGACTTCAACCTCTTTTCAAACAAACTAGATAAAACACCTCTAAGCATGCTACCTGTGGTTGAGTAATCCTTTGCATGGAAGCACCCATGAAATATAAGAAATCCATTAAAAGAATTCCTGGAGAAGAATGTGAAGAATAAGAAAAGAAAGAAATAGGAAGACCAAAAGTTTTATGGATTAATAGATCAAAAGTTTATATCAAGCTTTTTGATGCTTTCAGTAGACTAACTGCAATTGATCTGGATAGTTTCTGGGTTCTTGAATGTAAGGTTAAGTAAATTCCCTTGAAGTTGTATGCATATTCCAGGGCAAATTATTCTGTGCGGCATCGAACGTCATCCAGAGACCAATCAGAATGCGCCCCGTCACCCCCCGCTCGGTACCGCGGCTCGGTACTCTTGACGTAGCGCATTCTGATTGATCTCCGGACGGTCAACTGCATTCGGCATCCGCACAGAATAATTTCTCCGTATTTCAGAGCTTATTGGTGAGTTTCTGCAGCTACCCTATATCTTTTAGAATGGTGGGACTTCCTGTCTGAGAAAAACGGCTTAAAACCTGCCACTGTCTGTTTGCTAATAGGAATCTATTATTCAATTTGAAGAGGTTAAAACTGTTGATTCCTTGACTTTGTTAGTAAATTGTGCTTCTGCTGTTCTTTTTTTCACAGAAGCCTTATGTGGTTTATCCTCCTGAAGGTCCTCCTCCTCCATCTCCAGAAGAGCTCCGAGAAATGGCCCGGGAGTTGGCTCGCAAGAACAAAGGCACCTGATTGAGGCTCCGTTTCGAACAGTTTTATTATTGCTTCTTAAAGCAGATTTTTAGTACAAAATTTTTAATTTTTATATTAAAAAACTGCTTTAAGAAGCAATAAAAAATATGTCCCAAACAAAACATGAATCAACCACAGACCTGCTGAAATTTCACCATCTAATCAACAAATTGATGTAATTGTATTCTTTTTCCCCTTATCTTTATTGACTTCTCTCAAGATAAGTACTGCTCCTCCCACCTTAAAAGTTCCATTTCTCATAGCCCGGGAGTGCCATTTTATATTTGGGACGGCTTTATGCTTCTTAAAGCAGCTTTTTCGTACAAAAAATAATTTTTTTTTTTACTAAAAAATTGCTTTAAGAAGCAACGAGAAAACCTAAATCATTATTGTGAAGTATGTAGCGATGGTGGTATATCTTACATTTTATTATTATTTTTAATTCAATATTGTTGTTATATATATATATATCTGCTGAAATTTCACCATCTAATCAACAAATTGATGTAATTGTATTCTTTTTCCCCCTTATCTTTATTGACTTCTCTCAAGATAAGTACTGCTCCTCCCACCTTAAAAGTTCCATTTCTCATAGACCTGTGAGGTTGTCTTTAGCCAAAATAAAGGTAAATATGTGATATGTATATATAAACATTTCAAAGTTTAGCTGCTTCATTTGGGACGATTTTCTTATACAAAAATTTTAATTTTGCACTAATAATTTACTTTTAGAAATAATAAAAAAGTATAAGGCTTCGTTTGGGACGGCTTTATGCTTCTTAAAGCAGCTTTTTCGTACAAAAATAATTTTTTTTTTTTACTAAAAAACTGCTTTAAGAAGCAACGAGAAAGCCTAAATCATTATTGTGAAGTATGTAGCGATGGTGGTATATCTTACATTTTATTATTATTTTTAATTCAATCTTACATCTTCACTTGTTGTTATTGTTATTATTATTATTATATATATATGAGTTTTAATAAGCACCTAAGTGGACCCATTCTTTGCCATGTTCCCATCATGGCAAAGGAGGATGCCATGTTCCATCATCTTTGCCACACAACAACATACAATGTCAACATGGTTAAGTTAGGTGACCAAGAAGAGGATAAAATTGGCTATTAAAGACAATTAGTTTTGTTGGGTAGATTGACATCTCGTCGAAGAAAAAAAAAAATTATGCAGTTATGTATTGACATAACTTTCATTAAAATGACTTAAAAAGTTATTAGATTTGCGCTGATATTAGTAGGTAATTATGATATCATAAATTGTACTAATCTCGGTGTGAATCCAGTGACATTCAATTTATCGTGATAAAAGTTATGTACATTTGCATATTCATAAGTAATTTTTTTCTCGGTACAATCATGCCTTTATTCAAATTTGTAGTTTTCCAATCAATAAAGGCTTGAGTTAGGTCGAGTTAAGTCAAAATTTTGACCTTATACTACTTGTAATATTGATGTGATACAATAATGCTTGATGTTTGATACAAATTAATAACCTATTTTTTTATAGAAATTGAGAATTTATTTACACATGAGTTGTTCATGATCCTAAATCTTTGAAGAAGATTTATATGTTGTATAGTGCTTTTTAGGATATGATTTCAATTCATGTAAGAACTTACTATTTCAAATTATTAAAAAATTTGATTAAAAATTAAAGGTTGCCTTAGTGTAATTATCATTTAAAAAGAGAAAAAATTAAATAATGATTTGATAACAAGTTGAAATTTTATGAAAATATTAATAAACTTCATTGGAAATATTGATATTATTAATTTTTTTTTATTTATATCAAATTATTAATATTTTTAATAGATTTTAAATTCAAAAATTTAATTGGAATATTGAGCTTTATATTATGTGGAAAGTGTGATTCACCCTCTATTGAGAAGCATTATGAGTTGTGCACAAGTCAAGATATCTCAAATGATTGAATTAATCAAGTTAGGTCAGGTATGTGATATAACTACAGAATAATAGTGGATTGCCTAAAAGTGCTCGCTCCGCTTTAGTATTTAGATAACTTGGATGCTTGATTCTCTACATGACATAACTAATCTAAATTTTGAGGAAAACTTTATAGTCAAGATAAAGTTGATTTTGAAATTTATAGTAGCTTAGTAAGCCGACCGTTGTCAATTATAGGAAAGATAAGGAGATGCTTCACTATATAGAAGAAGAAGTTACATGGTTGCTCCTTGATCACTCTACTACAACTCTCACTCATTACAATAGGTATCAGTTTACAATTTGGTAGGGTTTAGAATAAGGCTTGAGTTTATAAACAGTAGAAAAGGTTCAAAAGATTAGTATTTATAAATGTTGGGTTGGTTGGGATAGAACCCATCAATAATTGTGATGTGGAGGCAAACAATGGATGGCTTTGATGGGGACAAAAGTAGTGGGACATATCTTGAGTAAATATAGAGAGGTGATTCCATGTGATGATCATTGGACGATCAATTTATTAAGTGGTAGCTATTATGAAAAGTGTTAAAGATATGTGATAGATAATTATTACGATAAATAAAGAATCTTTGGACAGTAGTTTATAATATGTAAGGGTGGTGCCCATGTAGCGATTATTAAGTGATAGAAGAGGCTGACGATGGTTAGTGTACTTGTTAGAACTATAATGAATTTGAGAAGAGATTCATGCGGAAGATAGAGACATATATGTAGAATAGATCCAATCGGGAGATTACGATAAATGGGCTTGCAATCCTTTAAAAAAATTCACTTAGGCCATTGATATGGTTTATGCAGTTCGCAATCAACCTGTCATCATTGACCACTGCTCCACCTAACATTTCTTCTTATCAAGTACTCCTCAAGAATGTCATCAACAACTCATCTCTAAGAAGTATTTTTTACAATTATGTCTCTTGAGGGGAGTCTAGTTCTTCTTAATATGTCTCTTCTCCTTTTAGGACCTAATCCAAGACTACTCAATTTCTTAGAAACATCGCAAGAGCCCTTTAGAAGAATATTTACTATTATTGCTGATGATTGGCTCATGTGTATTTATTCAGGCATGTGATAGTAAGTACTTGCTTATAGTTTGCACTTCTCATTAAATGTGCTTATCTTAACAATATAGTCTTCAAGATATGTCCACGCATTATAATATTTTGATTTGACTGAGGGTTATTGTCAATTAAGCTTCTTCAGAACTTTTAGTATCCGAATTTGTTAAAAAATATGAGCTTCCCATCTCCTTCGTGCTTGTTGATACATTTACATTTTTTGTGAGGATTGGAAATCTTGACCTTAAGTCCCTCAAATCATTAAAATAACTTGTCCAACCATGGAGACACTCAACCCCTCTAAATATTCATTTGTAGGTCATTTGAGGATGATTAAAGATAGATTTATTGACGAATAATCGTGATAGAAATATAACTTAACAATCTTGCACCAAGGACTTCAACCGATCTCAACAATAATCTTGCACGGAAATCTTATCCATTTTTTAATAATTGATATTAAACAAATAAATATTATAATTTAAATTGAATTTAAATATTATAAGAATAAGCATTGAATCACTCTCACTCAATGACCACATTATAGTTAGGTATTGCATGTTAAACCTCATGCACTCAAATATGTAACTAAGCTATACAATATTGAGAATTACAACCCATCTAAATATATACAAGCAATGATCATTGATCTTCAACAAGACTTTGATTGCTCCTCATGTACACATAAATGACCCTAAGCTTCTTAAGAAGTTAAAAATTATAGATTTACAATACATATAGACACAACATATAATTTTTTATTGCATCTCTATCTTAATCAGAGTAGTTGTGTGAACTAGAATGCTTAGGCTTCATTTGTGACAGTTTTCTTACTGCTTTACGAAGCAGCTTTCTAGTACATAAAATTTTAATTAAAAAAAAATACTAAAAAATTGTTCCAAACCAAACTTTAGGTTTCATGTATGATAGCTTTCTTACTGCTTCTTAAAGCAGTTTTCTAGTACTAACATAATATAGCGTTGTTCGACAATCTTCACCAACTTCCATTTAGTAGTGGACTAATTTTCTCGTTACGACTATAATTAAGGGGATACGAGAATGATAACAAAAGACAAGAAGACAAAGCTAAAACTCTTAGAGAGCATTTGAGGAATGATGAGTTGCTTGGCATGCCATCCAAGTTGGCAAGACTTAACCACCCATAGCATTTCTCATCTTAGTAGATAAGTGTCATTGTGGATGAAAGCAAACTATCCAATTGGTGGTTGAGATGATTGAGAATAAGCACCTAAGTAGTTCTAATGGGTCAACTTATAAGCAAATCCGATCGTTTCGATGGGTTAATCTAAGAGATGATTTCGATTAGTTCGATCATTTATAGGATAACAAGCTCTTGAACATAATTCATTATCCCAACTAATAATCTTAGCATTGTCATTTCTAATTGCCCATTAAGCATATTGTGTTATAGTCATGTTATTTTGTTATATTAAACAAGAAATTTTACTATCATTTGCTTATCATATTTCACACTTTACTTTTTTGGGGGTATTTGAGCTGTTACGACAAACTCATGCACACATCACATACGCAAGCTTTTGAGCCCAAAACCTCTTGGTTTGTAATCAAAGTTCCCAATTAGGGGTGTAACTGAGTCAAGCTGACTCTCGAGCCAGTTCGGGCTCGACTAGTTAACATGCTCAACGAGTCGAGCTCGAATAGGATTTCGAGCTTGACAGTTTATCGTGCTTGAGTTCGAATAAGACACCGCTCGACTCGCGAGCTCATATAGCAGCTCGCAAACGAAAATTGCGAGCATGCATTTCTATGGGTAGGATTTTTTGCAGACAGGATTTTTCTCGGGTAGGAATTTACGCAGGTGGTAATTTTTGCGGGCAAGAAATCCCGGGCAAAGTTTCGCGGGTAGGAATTTCGCCGGCAGAAGTGTCGCAGGCAGGAAAGTTTCGTGGGCGAGACGACACGAACAACTGTCGAGGCTTGCTAGCTTGCTCGAGCTCGCCTTTTGAGCTCGGGCTCGTTTCTAACTAACGAGCTAAGCTCGATAGTGTCAAAACTCGACTCGCCCCTACTCCGAACAAATAAAACAAGATAAGTTGTGTCATACTTTTTCCTTAAATACCCCTAAAAATTTATATACTATTATTTTTCAAAATTAATTTCCTAAAAACATAA